TCAGGTGATTATAAACTAATAGGATTATACTTATAATTATTATATTACATTTCTGCCAACTGATCCTCCTCAATGTTTCACACTGGAGCTTTAAGACGCCAAAACAAAACCATAAAAACGCCAAATACAGCTCCTAAAAACCAATGAAAAATTAAAAACAGCCGGTGGGATACGAAGATACAGCAGATAAATGTACCGTTACAGATTATCATAGATTATAGAGTTATAGATTTGTGTGTATTCGAGAGAGTGGCCGGTGTTTAATCACTAGATTTAGTGACTTTATTCCTGAACAGTGACTAGGTACAGATTGTAATTAATGCTGATAAACCTGATCTCCGCTCACCGTTCTTCTGCCGACAGCGCCGGCGTCTCTCCCTCTCCTCAGGCGGTCAGTAGGCGTGGCCTCTGTGGGGCACGTTTGACCTTCTCTCACACTCTTACTCTCCGGATCTCTGGATTAGGATGTTCCTGTAGTTTGTAAATATTTAAACAGTTCTCAGCAGATTCTACTTTTTGACTCCTCCACGATGTCCATGCACTGAGTTTGTGGTTATTCTGATGATTAATAATAATGTTCACAGTGTGTGAATGGAGACTTTAGCTTTGCACTACAGTTCGTTAGGATGTATTTATCGAGGGGACAGTTGGCAGTTGTTAGAGATAACGGCCACATGTGTGTCTGTACGTTGACATTTGGTGTTTAGCTGTATCCGATCTCCTCCTACAGATCCCGTTCTTCCACAAAGGCATCCTCCAGGTGTTTGGACAGAGGCGAGGTCTGCAGGTGAGGTGATAGACAGACGGACTGATAACTGTGCTCTGGCTTCAGGCCCCTTCAGACACCAGATAATATATTACACATTATAAAACCAGTGTTCCTGGTCTGCAGAGGTCAGTGGAAAAGGCCACATTAATCCTTTATATTTGAATCTGTGTGTGTGTGTGTGTGTGTGTGTGTGTGTGTGTGTGTGTGTGTGTGTGTATAGCTGGGATCTCCTCAGTGTGTGCTTCCAGGTATCCTTCAGTGTTGTCTGTCCTACTCTCTGATCACCAGACTGGCTCCCAGCTGGAATAAAGCAGGACTCTACCTCATCACAGGTAAAGTAGTTCATGCTGACGTAAGCACTCTTCACATTTAGTTTCACAGGAAGACACAATGATTGGATTCTGATATAAAAATACAAAGAAATATAGAATGTTTTGGCATAAATTGTTAAACAGGGGAACAATATAACAGAATTCAATCTTAAAGATTAAAATTAAATTTTTCATGTCAAACTGACCCGACTGTCTTTATATTCTGAACTTATTGTATTAAATTCCAGTTGTGACAGAAGATGGTTGCTGTGATCTTCTGTTGCTTTACGCAGACTGAAGATGCATCAGAAACTGTGGGAGGGTTGCAGGAAGATCAGTCCCACAGTAACTCCAGATGTAGTTGTCTCTAATTAATAACAATAAGCAGCTCTGTGGTGAACCAGACTTCCTCTTTGGTCTTTGTTTCATGCAACTTCCAAATAAAAGCCCTCAGTTCTTTAAGACTAGATCTTTAGCATTAGTTATTTAGCATTAGTTCTTTAAGATAATATCTTTAGGTTTAGATCTTTAGGATTAGATCTTTAGGATTAGATCTTTAGGTTTAGATCTTTAGGTTTAGATCTTTAGGATTAGATCTTTAGGATTAGATCTTTAGGATTAGATCTTTAGCATTATATCTTTAGTATTAGTTCTTTAGGTTTAGATCTTTAGGTTTAGATCTTTAGGATTAGATCTTTAGGATTAGATCTTTAGGATTAGATCTTTAGGATTAGGACATGAACGATACAGAAAGTGAGGAGGAAGATCACAGAGGTGGTGCCTGGAAGCTGCCTAATATTAACTCTGGTGTGACACATTAGAAACAACGCCACCTAGAGTCCCTAAAGGAAACTTTACCAGCAGTTTTATAGACAGAGACGCAGAAACACGAGACCCGGCAGAACCTCTGTACTGAGATTATGAGCTGTAGATTATTAACAGACTGACTGTGTGTTTGTGTCTTGGATCAAAGTGACAGTCAAGTGTTGCAACACTCGGTCAAGCCTTCACCTTAGACACAGTCTGACATAAAGTGTACGTGTGTGTGTGTGTGTGTGCGCGCGCGCTAATATGAATGGTAGAAAAAGACACATTTACATGTCTGAAATTAAACGTCAATCTGAGCTTTAAATTAAGGTCTTAAATGTCTTAAATATGACTTTAACTTTGATAAATTAATTGAACATTACTGGTGTAAAGTTGAATTTTTTGTCTCCCTTTTATATGTGTTTGTTGGAATCATTGTATTGATCGTGCTGTTAGAACTACAATACAGTTTCCCTTCATATGCTTTACTTTTTGTGTCAGTATGGACGTATAATAGGTCTTAAATTGCATTTATAATGGTCATAAAAAGGTGTAACCAGGTGTAACTGTTGCACATCAGTGCAGCTTTTAGACAAATAAATATTAGTTTATT